CAAAAAAATTGAAAATTTTAAAACTTTAATTGCATATTCCGCTTACTCATTACATTCTATTGCAATTCAGCAATTTAAATTTTTCATTTTGGAAAAATGTTTGGAATTCAGCTAGCTGAATACAAAAATTTTTGAAAATTTCAAAACTTTATTTACACATTCCGCTTATTCATTACATTCTATTGCAATTCAGCAAGTTGAATTTTTCATTTTTGAAAATTTTTTGGAATTCAGCTAGCTGAATACAAAAATTTTGAAAATTTCATAACTTTAATTGCACATTTCGCTTACTCATTACATTCTATTGCAATTCAGCAAGTTGAATTTTTCATTTTTCATTTTGGAAAAAAATTTGGAATTCAGCTAGCTGAATACAAAAATTTTAAAAATTTCATAACTTTAGTTGCATATTCAGCAAGCAAATATTTTTATTTTGAAAAAATTTTTGGAATCCAGCTAGCTGAATACAAAAAATTTTGAAAATTTCATAACTTTAATTACACATTCCGCTTACTTATTACATTCTATTGCAATTCAGCGTGTTGAATTTTTCAATTTGGAGCTTTATTGGAATTCTGCTAGCTGAATATAAAAATTTTTGAAAATTTAAAAACTTTAATTACACATTCGCTTACTGATTACATTCTATTGTAATTCAGCAAGTGGAATTTTCATTTTGGAAAAAATTTTGGAATTCAGCTAGCTAAATACAAAAATTTTTGAAAATTTCAAAACTTTATTTACACAATCCGCTTACTCATTACATTCGAGTCAATTCAGCAAGCAAATATTTTTATTTTGAAAAAATTTTTGGAATTCAGCTAGCTGAATACAAACAATTTTGAAAATTTCAAAACTTTAATTACACATTCCGCTTACTTATTACATTCTATTGCAATTCAGCAAGTTGAATTTTACATTTTTGAAAATTTTTTGGAATTCAGCTAGCTGAATACAAAAAATTTGAAAATTTCAAAACCTTAATTACATATTCCGCTTACTGATTACATTCTATTGCAATTCAGCAAATTCAATTTTTCATTTTGGAAAAATTTTTGGAATTCAGCTAGCTGAATACAAAATAATTTGCAAATTTCAAAACTCTAACTACACATTCCGCTTACTCATTACATTCTATTGCAATTCAGCAAGTTGAATTTTTCATTCTGGAAAAAATTTTGGGATTCAGCTTGCTGAATACAAAAAATTTTGAAAATTTCATAACTTTAATTGCATATTCCGCTTACTCATTACATTCTATTGCAATTCAGCAATTTGAATTTTTTATTTTGGAAAATTTTTTGGAATTCAGCTAGCTAAATACAAAAATTTTTGAAAATTTCAAAACTTTATTTACACATTCCGCTTACTCATTACATTCTATTGCAATTCAGCCAGTCGAGTTTTTCATTTTTGAAAAATTTTTGGAATTCAGCTAACTGAATACAAAAAATTTTAAAAATTTCATAACTTTAATTGCATATTCCGCTTACACATTACATTCTTTTGCAATCAGCATGTTGAATTTTTCGTTTTGGAAAATTTTTTGGAATTCAGCTGGCTGAATACAAAAAAAATTGAAAATTTCAAAACTCTAACTACACATTCCGCTTACTCATTACATTCTATTAAAATTCAGGAAGTTGAATTTTTCATTTTTGAAAAATTTATGGAATTCAGCTAGCTGAATAAAAATTTTTTTGAAAATTTCATAACTTTAATTGCATATTCCGCTTACTCATTACATTCTATTGCAATTCAGCAAATTGAATTTTTCATTTAAGAAAAATTTTTGGAATTCAGCTAGCTCAATACAAAAATTTTTTAAATTTCCCAACTCTAACTACACATACACTACAAAATTTCATAACTTTAACTGCATATTCCGCTTACTCATTACATTCTATTGCAATTCAGCAATTTGAATTTCTCATTTTGGAAAAAATTTGGAATTCAGCTAGCTTAATACAAAATTTTTTGAAAATTTCATAACTTTAATTGCATATTCCGCTTACTCATTACATTCTATTGCAATTCAGCAATTTAAATTTTTCATTTTAGAAAAATTTTTGGAATTCAGCTAGCTCAATACAAAATTTTTTGAAAATTTCAAAACATTAATTATACATTCAGCTTACTTATTACATTCTATTGTAATTCAGCAAGTAAATATTTTTATTTTGGATAAACTTTTGGAATTCAGCATGCTGAATACAAAAAATTTTGAAAATTTTCTAACTTTAATTGCATATTCCGCTTACTCATTACATTCTATTGCAATTCAGCAATTTGAATTTTTAGTTTGGAAAATTTTTTGGAATTCAGCTAGCTGAATACAACAAAAACTGAAAATTGTAAGACTTAAATTACACATTCCGTTTACTCATTACTTTTTAATGCAATTCAGCAAGTTAATTTTTTCATTTGGAAAAAGTTTTGGAATTCAGCTAGCTGAATACAAAAAATTTTAAAAATTTCAAAACTTTAATTACACATTCGCTTACTCATTACATTCTATTGCAATTCAGCAAGTTGAATTTTTCATTTTGGAAAAACTTTTTGAATTCAGCTAGCTGAATACAAAAAATTTTGAACATTTCAAAACTCTTACTACACATTCCGCTTACTCATTACATTCTATTGCAATTCAGTAATTAAAATTTTTCATTTTGGAAACATTTTTGGAATTCAGCTAGCTGAATACAAAAAAAAATTTGAAAATTTCAAAACTCTAATTACACATTCCGCTTACTCATTACATTCTATTGCAATTCAGCAAGTTGAATTTTTCATTTTGGAAAAAATTTTGGAATTCAGCTAACTGAATACAAAAAAAATTAAAAATTTCATAACTTTAATTGCATATTCCGCTTACTCATTACATTCTATTGCAATTTAGCAGGTTGAATTTTTCATTTTGGAAAAAGTTTTGGAATTCAGCTGGTTGAATACAAAAAATTTTGAAAATTTCATAACTATAATTGCATATTCCGCTTACTCATTACATTCTATTGCAATTCAGTAATTTAAATTTTTCATTTTGGAAACATTTTTGGAATTCAGAAATTTGAAAATTTTTAAACTTAAATTACACATTCCGCTTACTCATTACATTCTATAGGAATTCAGCAAGTTGAATTTTTCATTTTTGAAAAATTTTTGGAATTCAGTTAGCTGAATACAACACAAATTGAAAATTGTAAGACTTAAATTACACATTCCGCTTAAACATTACATTTTAATGCAATTCATCAAGTTAATTTTTTCATTTTGGGAAAAGTTTGGAATTCAGCTAGCTCAATACAAAATTTTTTAAAATTTCCAAACCTAAATTACACATTCCGCTTACTCATTACATTCTATTGCAATTCAGCAAGTTAAATTTTTTATTTTGGAAAAATTTTTGGAATGCAGCTAGCTGAATACAAAAAATTTTGAGAATTTAAAAACCTTAATTGCACATTCCGCTTACTTATTACATTCTACTGCAATTCAGCAAGTTGAATTTTTCATTTTGGAAAAAATTTTGGAATTCAGCTAGCTCAATACAAAATTTTTTGAAAATTTCAAAACATTAATTATACATTCAGCTTACTTATTACATTCTATTGTAATTCAGCAAGTAAATATTTTTATTTTGGATAAACTTTTGGAATTCAGCTTGCTGAATACAAAAAATTTTGAAAATTTTCTAACTTTAATTGCATATTCCGCTTACTCATTACATTCTATTGCAATTCAGCAATTTGAATTTTTAGTTTGGAAAATTTTTTGGAATTCAGCTAGCTGAATACAACAAAAACTGAAAATTGTAAGACTTAAATTACACATTCCGTTTACTCATTACATTCTGTTGCAATTCAGCAAGTTGAATTTTACATTTTGGAAAAAAATTTGGAATTCAGCTAGCTGAATACAAAAAATTTGAAAATTTCAAAACATTAATTACATATTCCGCTTACTGGTTACATTTTATTGCAATTCAGTAAGTTAAATTTTTCATTTTGGAGCTTTTATTGGAATTCAGCTAGCTGAATACAAAACATTTTGAGACTTTCAAAACTATAATTACACATTCCGCTTACTCATTACATTTTAATGCAATTCAGCAAGTTAATTTTTTCATTTTGGAAAAAGTTTTGGAATTCAGCTAGCTGAATACAAAAAATTTCAAAACTTTAATCATACATTCCGCAGCAAGTTGAATTTTTCATTTTGGAAACAAAATTTTGAATTCAGCTAGCTGAATACAAAAAATTTTGAAAATTTCAAAACTTTATTCACACATTTCGCTTACTCATTACATTCTATTGCAATTCAGCAATTTGAGTTTTTCATTTTGGAAACATTTTTGGAATTCAGCTAGCTGATCAGCTTAAAATTCTAAGTCGATTTAGTATTGTCCGTCTGTCTGTCTGTCCGTATGTCTGTTGTAATCACGCAATCTTTCGAACGAATTGAGATAGGAGGCTAAAATTTTGCACACATGTTTATTTTGCCAGTAGGCAGGTTCGTAAAATGGGCCTTGTAGGTCCACGTCTTCGTATAGCCTCCATATAACGGTACCCCTCCCCATATTCGGTATTTTGATGATTTTAGCGACATTATTAACCGGAATCGTTTCAAAATTTGGTATTTCGCAATGAAAACATATTCACCGTTTATTTCAAGTTTCGAATTTGAATATGGTAATGACTTATGACAAACAATGCCCATGTAAGTCCACGTCCTAAAGACACCAATATAACGGCTATATTTGGTATTTTAAAAATTTTAACAGAATTTTTTAAGGATTTATTTCCAAATTAGTTGGTGGAGGGTATTCAAAGTTTGGCCCGGCCGAACTTACTGCTTTTTAACTTGTTTTGTTTTTGTTTAATTCACAGGAAAGAATAGAATTTTCTCCACGGATTTTAGGTGATTTGAGAGAAAAGTTACTCAGCTCCATTTTAGGATTTGGTTACAACCTTTCGCATCATTCAACAAAACTTTCCAATAGCTTACGCTTTCATATCTTTATTCAATTCAAATATTTTGTATTTTCTGTATATAATATATTTTAAAAATAACTTAAAATAGTAAGCTTTATACATAACTTAAGCCATCTACATTTTATTTACTTTAACTAATTTATGTACATTTTAATATAATTTTTAATCAAATAACTTTTATTCTATAATACTAGGTCCTTTGGGATGGATAATTAGCATAATATTTGGCAACTCTAGCTGTTCTTTTAATGATTTTGCTTAAACTATTTTAGCCTAAGAAAACAACAACTACAATAATAATTTTAATTATCACTAATTTAATTTGAATACTTAATGTGTTCATAATACGATGAACCACCACTCCCAGTCCCACCCTCACCATTGTTGGGGCCATTATTTTCATTGGACGTTCCGCCAACCACATTCAAATGGTGTTGTGGTTGCTGCTGCTGCTGATGTAATGGTGGGGTGGATATTGTTCCCGAGGGCGGAGTCATCGAAGGCAAGAAAATAGGTTTGCGATCAATCAATGCAGAATCCGATGAAGTGGGCGGCAGAGATGTTAGGGCTGACGATGTTATAATGGAGGGTGGTGGCAAGGTATGGATCAACGATGCCGAGGATGATGAGGCCGAGGGTGGTGGTGTTATTGAGGATGCGTGATGTACTGGACCATTATTGTGGTGGTGATGGTGATGCTGTTGATGTTGCTGAGTGGAAGGAGGAGGCGGTGTATGGTGAGATGACAGCGTCGACAATGAAGACATTTGCGTTAAAGACATTGAACGCAAACCTGGAAAAATTAACAGAGAGGGAGAAAGAAAGGAATTAGTAAAACTGTAATGAAGAAAAAAAAAATCCAGAATTTTGAATGATTATACAACTCAAAAGGGAGTGAGGAGAAGCAAACATAATCGCAATTATTATTACCCCTTCTTTCTGTTTTGCTCGAGAAAACCCATTAAAGTATAATGACCCGTTTTAATGGCATATAAAAATCGTTATTCCATTTCCCCCCTTTTGATTGACACGATCACCCAAATCGTCCGTTGCTTAACACTGCTTACCATTGTCTAGGTTATATGAGGAGGCGCCACTTGCGGCTGTTGCACTGCCATATGGCGAATAACCAACATTACTGGCTGCCACCAGCGATGCTGTCGCATAATCCATATTTGAATTGGCCTGCAAGGCAGCGGCGGCTGAGGATGTTAGCGAAGGACCGGGTGAACCATTGTTTGCCGGAACATGGGCCATTGGCGGTGTAGGACTGCTGTTGTTGTTGTTATGCATAATTGCCGACGTTGCTATATTTGAATACTGCGGCAATGTCTGTTGTCCGTGACTGTGTGGTGTACCCCACCCATCGGAGAAATTTCCCGCCGCGGATGTAGCCGATGCATAAGGGTCATAGGCGGAGAATGCTTGAGAGCCATAGAAATTGGGATTGTCCTGAAAAGGAAGAGGGATTAAAACACATTTAAAATCGAAGATATTAAAATATCGTAGGAAGTGAATACCGGTTTTAACTAGCAAAAAATAACTTTTGCAAATATATAAATAAAAAAATAGCGGAGTGGTCATGGTTTTTTGGTAATTATGAAAAAAAAAACACATTTTGTCTTTTGAAGTAATATGGGAACCCATAACAGTTTTTTCAGTTCTTCTTTCCATGGAAGTGATGTATGAGAGAGCATAGATATTCTCTTAGTTTTTCCTTTAATGGACCAATAAGTTTCGCCTATGTCCTCTATGAGAAGTCCAGAATGTCTTCTTATAAGAAGACTTATTTTATGAGGCGTCCCACAGGGGGCTAGTGAAAACGGAAGAAGTGCCATTTCTGTTGCAATTAGTGAATTCGAGATAGCAACAAACTTCCCCATAATAACCGTATCTTCAATTGAATTGTTGTGTAGTTTTTACGGTTAGCCTAATACCTTTGCAAATGTGTTGTGGGTCAATGCTTCATATTAAAACCAGTAAAGAAAGTCCTAAAGTCGGGCGGGGCCGATTTTATGATACCCTACACCACTTTGCTAATTAAGTAGAGCTCCACATAACAATTAAAAGTTTTTATGGGAGAATTCAATCATACACGCTATGATTATAATTTAAAATTCAAAGGACTAAATATGCCGAAGCATTTGTATCATTTAAATTCGGACTTGTATTGCCCATTTGGTGCGAAATTAATTTGAAATCGGATAAAAAAATATATATGACAACTATATCCAAATCTGAATTTGGCAAAGATATTTCTGAGCTGTATTTGATATATTTCCTTGAATATCGTTGTTACGCAGTGCATATTACGGCTGTGGGTAACAAATACAACAAATCGGATGAACAATATATATGGGAGCTATAACTATATCTGAACCGATCTTCACCAAATTTGGCATACTACCTTCTAGACTAAATTCGGTCGTATGTGCCAAATTCCATCCCATTTGGATATTAGACGTTTGGTGCACAATAAATGGTAAATCGGAAGAAGTTATATATGGGAGCTATATCCAAATCTGAACCGATCTCGATAAAATTTAGCAAAGGTATTTCTGAGCTGCATTTGATATATTTCCCCAAATATTGTTGTTACAAAGTGCATATTACGGCTGCGGAGGACAAAAATAACAAATCGGCTGAACAATATATATGGGAGCTATAGCTATATCTGAACCGATTTCGATAAAATTTGGCATACTTATTTTCAGGCCTAATTTGGTTGTATGTGCAAAATTCCATACTATTCGGGCTGATATTACACGTTTGGTGCACAATAAAAGGCAAATCGGACGAAGATATATATGGGAGCTATATCTAAATTTTTACCGATTTTCTCCAATTTCAATTGGGTTCGTCCTTGGGTCAAACAAATGTTGTTTGCAAAATTTCATCTCAATCGGATAATAAATGCGACCTGCATTTTGTTCACAAGAATATATGGACAGACGGACAGACGGACGGACGGACATGCATAAATCGACTCAGAACTCGACACAAACAAATGCACAAAGACATAATACCCTGACCACCTTGTGGTGTAGGGTATAATCATATCACTATCAGAACCGATTTCAATATAATTTGACAAAATTACTTTTACACCAAATTCCGTCACACCTTCCATATTTCATTGGAATTAGCACGTCAAATTTGTGAAATCGGCCGAGAATATATATATGAGAGCTACATCCAAATCTGAACAGATTTCAATATAATTTGGCAAATCTATTTTCTGATCAAATCCCTTCACACATTTCAAATTTCATTGGAATCGAACATACATATCGTGTTTGCTGTATCAAATTAACGAAAATATATGGAAGCTATACCCAAATCTGTACCGATTTCAATGTAATTTTGGGAAATGTATGTTCGTTTTAAATTCCGTTACACATTCTAAATTTCATTGAAATTAGAGATATTTAGCGCGTTTGGTGCATCAAATACATGAAATCGGCCGAAAATATATATGGGAGCTATATCTAAATCTGAACCGATTTAAATATAATTTGACAACTGTAGCTTCGTATTAAATTCAGTTACGCATTCCAAATTTGGATACAGTATCTGTAATGGATCAATAGATACGTGCACATACATTTTTGGGAGGTACCTCCGATTCTGATGCTATATCTCTAGTTCCAAGTGGATTTTCAAAAATGTATATAGCCTATATTACTTTCAGGCTAGGAATTCCTCGAATCACCCGAATGTTCCAAATTTAGTACAAATTAGTACAGTTCGCACATTAAGTACATATTTACAAAACCACCTTCAAGTCAGACCAAGTTTCAAGTTTTTAGCTCTATCCGTTCATATACATTTATATAGATGAAAAATCTGCAACCAACGTGGGATTGCTGTGCTTTCTAAGTCACACCTGCGACAGCTGTTAAGATTAATCCAGTAATAGCTCATTATATTGTTTACAAGCGTATAAAAACATTTTGGTGAGAATTTTCCACAAAAAAAAAGTTATTCGTGATGGAATTCAAGCATGTTAGTGTGATATCTTTTTATTTGGCTGGAAAACCATCGCTCGTTACCGTGATACTGGTAGCGTAGCCCGACGTCAAGGAAGTGGATGGAAGAAAAGAGCAACATCAGCAGAAATGGTTCGAAAAGTAAAGAAGTGACTTGATCGAAAACCGCGTCGCAGTGGCCAAAAAATGGCTCGTGAGCTGAACAAACCGCAATATTCCATTCGGCAAATATTGAAAAATGAGCTCGGGGTAAAGCCACTGAAATTCCAAAAAGTGCAAGAGCTTACACCGCCACAGAAAGGAAATAGACTCAAAAGAGCTAAAGAGTTGCTTCGATTGGCCGAAAGTGGTGAACTGCCGAATTTGATTTTCTCCGATAAGAAAACATTCGTTGTCCAGCAGTCCAAAATGCCACCAGAACTCAAGCTCCGTCCATGGTGATGGTGTGGGCCGCCATAACAGCTGATGGTCGCTCTCCGCTCATATTAATCGACATCAGAATAAATGCCAAATATTATCGCGAAATTATTCTGGAGGGTGTATTAAAGCCTTGGGCACGCAAACATTTTGGCAGCAGACTTTGGACCAACGCACTCAGCACGCGTCACCCAAGAATGGTTACAATATGAGGTTCCTCGCTTCATTTCCAGCGCACAATGGCCACCAAATTCTCCGGATACCAATCCATTGGACTATTGTGTGTGGAGTATTTTGAAAAGCAAAAAATACCAAAGTGTCGACAACATCAAGCAAGCGCTTCGCCGGGAATGGGCCGAAATACCGCATAGCAACATTCGGACAGCGTGTTACGGTTTCACTGGCCGCTTGAAGGCCATAATTCGTGCCAAAGGTGACCAATTCGAACAAATCTAAACTTATTCTAAAATTGGATGCTATTTCCAATATTTTTTACTTTCACTCAATAAAATGTAACAAAAAAATATGTAACAAATATGTTGTTTGACTTTTTGCAGTTTTCTTTTTTTTATCTCACCCTGTATATAGATAAGCAGACTTAAGTCCAATTTCTGAAATAATATATACTTTTACTAAAATAAATAACTTACCATTCCCGCATCATATGACCCCGTTGGATAGAAACCATTGACGGCTGCATAGGGTTTCACTTTCAATTTGGAACGATAGCCACGGGGACGTCTTCTCAAACTACCCTCATCTTCAAACATATGGGCGGAGTTTTGTTCTATGGTCCAATAGTTGCCTTTGCCCGGCTTGCCAACACCCATGCCTTTGGGCAACTTTTTAAAGCATTCATTCAAACTCAAATTATGGCGTACGGAATTTTTCCAACCAATGTAAGGACCTCGGAAGAATTCAAATCTATTCCAATGTAGACAAAAAGAAAATAAATTTTAAATTAAACAAGTAAGCAAAGGCTACAGTCGAGCGGGGCCGACCGTTGAATACCCTACAACACTATAATAAATGATACAGTTTATATAGGCGAGATACTCGAAAGAATTCCACAAGATATTGTGACAAATAATAAAAGGAAACCATCAGGTTTCGTTCTCTAATTTTCGAATAATAGCAACTTAAACTAATTTGCTCATTTCCAATTTATTGGAAGATGTTGCACGTAAACGGTCTTCCTAGATCTGGAACCAATATTTCCCAAAGACCTATAATCTCTCAGAAGTGGCAAAAGATTAACATTTTTTATTGGCTTTTGACTGAAACGCATCTATATGAGATACAGACATTTGACTATATTCTTCCACGAAATCAGCGTTAACGAAATAGTCAGAAGTGCGTCTTTCCTGTATTTGTGAATTCTCCAAAAAGTCTCTGTTATAGACATTTTCGTATTTTGTCTACAAAAGTTGGCAAACTATTTCACACATTGAATATTTTTGGATGGCCATCCAAAACTGCTGGCTTTTGCAATGTCCGGAAATCCCCTTTCAAATGTGCGTAAGGATCGGGCGATAATTACGACCTGCCGACAATTTTGCAGTTTTTTTTTTGGTCCATTTCAACCCCTAAATATATGGCGATCATCTCCAAAAAGGGTAGGCTTCTATTCTGACCCTCATCTTATCCCCATGCAAAATTTCGTAAGAATCGGGCCATAAATGCGATCTGTATATGATATCCTGATATCCTAACTACTTAGTTTTGTTAGCTGTAGAAATATTACCAAATGTTTAATTCAAAATGAAAATATGCCAAAAATATGACAAAATTGAAAAAATATGAGAAAATTTTACAAAATCAATATTTTCATCTTTAGAGAGATATTTTTATGCGATTTTTTTAGACGTTTTTTCTTTCCTGCCAAGAGGCCATTCTGAATTAATGAGAACTGTCGAAATCGGTTCAGCCGTTCTCGACATATAAGAGATCTTTCAAGCATATCTTCTTTGATAGACATATATATCGCACATATTTTTCTATATATCCGATTTGTTGGATGTTAACATCAATGTAAAGGTCAGAAGTAACCTTGTCATGGCTTTGTGATTTCGCCGGGATTTAAAATATTCGCGGTTTAATGAAAATTTTTGAATTTTTTCAACACAAAATATATGGTCTATTTTACCCGCTAAATATTATCCGATGACCACGCAAATTGGTAGGCTTCTTCCCCGCCCTAAACTCTAGCTACATGCGAAATTCGGCGTCGATTGGTCTATAATTGCGACCTGTATAGCTACTGCAAAATCCGAAATTTTTTCAGTATTTGGTCCATTTCAACCCCTAAACATTTGGCGATCATCTCAAAAAGAAATAGGGTTCTATTCTGGCCCGACCCCGACCTCTATTCCAAATTTCGTGAAGATCGGGCCATAATTGCGGCCTGTAGAGTGATTACAAATTAACATGGACAGACGGACAGACGGACAGACGGACAGACGGACGGACGGACATACATAGCTAGATCGACTCAGCTCGGCGAGATAGGATGATCCATATATACTTTCCTATGTGGGAAACCAATATTTCGAGGTGTTACATAATTTTTGGGCCAATCAAACTTATAATACCCTCAACACATAGTGTTGTAGGGTATAAAAAATAATAAAAAGAATGGATTTAAAGTTTATCGCTATAGAAGGGTTTAATATTTTAATAATAATCCAAAAAAAAAAAATATTTTTTTTTACAGAATTTGAGATCTTGTCCAGTTTTGTGTCATTACAAGGTTTCAAATAACTTCGCCACATCATACCATGGAAGTGCTTTAAATTGCCATGGCACCCATGTCACCCTTTCTAGCCATTGTGCGTTCGAAAGAAGAGAACCCCTTGACAACTCAAATTCATAAATTTCCCAAGAATCAAAAATTCACGCAAAACCCCAATACGCTTTGGGGGCATTCGTTTTCACAGAGGTTGTATAAAAAGTTGTTTATTTGTATTTCAAACCCGAGGAAAAAGAATATTTATCGATTGATTTGCTTGCTGTTCGCTTGCCAGCGCTCATTTTGATAAACAAAATGTCATAATAAAGTCGAAAATTATGGCAACCAACATTCTTATTTGAATATGAAATTTGAAATGATTTAGAAACGATGGGAAATTATGAAAAATTAAAAGGATCGATTGAGAGAGAAATATTCAAACGAGCTGTTGTATACTATCATTGCAGACTTCGTTCGGCCGAAGACTTTATGGGGTAGGTTCCGAAGGAATGGTCCAATATTTTCAATTTCGTATCGGATCAAGTAAATATGACATAAATGTTGCGAAGTCCCAGGTTTGGACTATGTGGACTTTTTCACTTTATGTGAGATACATATGTGATAATTTTTAGAGAACTTTAAGATGTGCGTGAAATACCAGATAAAGTCGACGAAGTATTTCGTATTCACATTTCACCTAATACAGAAAAAAAACCAGTAAAGAAAGTCCTAAAGTCGGGCGTGGCCGATTTTATGATACCCTACACCACTTTGCTAATTTAGTAGAGCTCCACATAACAATTAAAAGTTTTTACGGGAGAATTTAATCATACACCCTATGATTATAATTATAATTTAAAATTCAAAGGACTAAATATGCCGAAGCATTTGTATCTTTTAAATTCGGACTTGTATTGCCCATTTGGTGCGAAATTAATTTGAAATCGGATAAAAATATATATGGGATTTATATCCAAATCTGAACCGATCTCGATAAAATTTGGCAAAGTTATTTCTGAGCTGTATTTGATATATTTCCCTGAATATCGTTGCTACGGAGTGCATATTACGGCTGTGGGTAACAAATACAATAAATCGGATGAACAATATATATGGGAGCTATAACTATATCTGAACCGATCTTCACCAAATTTGGCATACTTCCTTCTAGACTAAATTCGGTCGTATGTGCCAAATTCCATCCCATTTGGACAAATATTAGACGTTTGGTGCACAATAAATGGTAAATCGGACGAAGTTATATATGGGAGCTATATCCAAATCTGAACCGATCTCGATAAAATTTAGCAAAGGTATTTCTGAGCTGTATTTGATATATTTCCCCAAATATTGTTGTTACAAAGTGCATATTACGGCTGCGGAGGACAAAAATAACAAATCGGATGAACAATATATATGGGAGCTATAGCTATATCTGAACCGATTTCGATAACATTTGGCATACTTATTGTCAGGCCTAATTTGGTTGTATGTGCAAAATTCCATACTATTCGGGCTGATATTACACGTTTGGTGCACAATAAAAGGCAAATCGAACGAAGATATATATGGGAGCTATACCTAAATTTTTACCGATTATCTCCAATTTCAACAGGGTTCGTCCTTGGGCCAAACAAATGTTGTTTGCAAAATTTCATCTCAATCGGATAATAAATGCGACCTGCATTTTGTTCACAAGAATACATGGACAGACGGACGGACGGACTGACATGCATAAATCAACTCAGAAAGTGATTCTTTGCAGATCATCAAAAGGAACAATGGGTCTATCTCGTTTCCTTTTGCCTGTTACAATCAAATGCACAAAAACATAATACCCTGACCACCTTGTGGTGTAGGGTATAAATACTGGTATGGACAAAATTACAAGAAAATCGAACATTTATATCCAATTTTATCCAAAATCATAAATTCCGTATTCATTTCAGGTTTCGGGTCAAGAGAAGTATTTAGATATAGAAAGTTGTAAAGAATTGCTAACTATATATATATATATATATATATATATATATATATATATATATATATATATATATATATATATATATATATATATATATATATATTTATATATATATATATATATATATATATATATATATATATATATATATATATATATATATCATTTTAACAATAGACCATATGTTAAATTTTTTTTGTAAAATTTGACGAGAATTGGACGCTTATTTCGCTTGTTTTTCAAATTCTTGATCCGTGTGTCTACCATCTCTATAACAGATCTTGTGTTGTGTACTAAGTCTTAATGGAATAGGATGTTAATTTCACGTTTTATGAGCTTCGTGGATACTCAAAATGTTGACCCTTTTTGGGGGAGGTGATAGAAGGAGTGGAACGATATATCACATCTAGGGGACCGGGATGTGTGAAACATGAAGAGAACCGAATGCTTCTTTTGAATTTTATAATCGTTTTGGTTATTCAACCCTTTGTGGAATGGAAGGAATGGTCCGATCTATACCATCTTTAAAACAGATTTTGCGTTGATAGAAATATTGAGATGTGCCAAGCCTGAATGGAATCGGATATTAATTTCGCGTTTTATGAAAGTCAGGGATATTCAAAATTTTGACCCTTTGGGGCGGGGGGAGTGGGAGTTACCAAATGAAGTTGACCGAAATATTACATCTTTATAATTTGAAGACAATTGGACTCATATAATACATTTTATAATTATTAAAAATGTTGACCCTTTTTGGGGGAGGTACTTGATGAAATTGACCGATATTTTCCATTTTCGCGCCGGACCTAGCACTGATGCAAATATTAGGATTTGCAAAGTTGAAGCAAAATGGAATTATTCTCTCTCTTTCTGTGCAGACAATTATTTTTTTATACCCTACACCACAAGGTGGTCAGGGTATTATGTCTTTGTGCATTTGTTTGTAAAAGGCAGAAGGAAACGAGATAGACCCATAGTTCCTTTTGATGATCTGCATAGAATCACATTCTGAGTCGATTTATGCATGTCCGTCCGTCCGTCAGTCCGTCTGTCCATGTATTTTTGTAAACAAAGTACAGGTCGCATTTATGGCCCGATCCAGATGAAATTTTGCACAGATCTTTTGTTTGGCCCAAGAACGAACCCTATTGAAATTGGAAATAATCGGTCAAGATTTAGATATAGCTCCCATGTATATCTTCGTCCGATTTGCCTTCTATTGTGCACCAAACGTGTAATATCAGCCCGAATTGTATGGAATTTTGCACATACACCCAAATTAGGCCTGAAAATATGTATGCCAAATTTGATCGAAATCGGTTCAGATCTAGCTATAGCTCCCATATATATTGTTTATCCGATTTGTTATTTTTGTCCACCGCCGCCGTAATATGCACTCTGTAACAACAATATTTGGGGAAATATATCAAATATAGCTCAGAAATACATTTGCTAAATTTTATCGAGATCGGTTCAGATTTGGATATAGCTCCCATATATAACTTCGTCCGATTTACCTTTTATTGTGCACCAAACGTCTAATATTTGTCCAAATGGGATGGAATTTGGCACTTACGACCGAATTGAGTCTAGAAGCTAGTATGTCAAATTTGGTGAAGATCGGTTCAGATATAGCTATAGCTTCCATATATATTATTCATCCGATTTGTTATATTTGTTACCCACAACCGTAATATGCACTCCGTAACAACGATATTCAGGGAAATATATCAAATACAGCTCAGAAATATTTTTGCCAAATTTTATCGAGATCGGTTCAGATTTGGATATAGCTCCCATATATATCTTTATCCGATTTCAAATTAATTGTGCACCAAATGGGCAATACAATTCCGAATTTAAAAGATACAAATGCTTCGGCATATTTAGTCCTTTGAACTTTAAATTATAATTATAATTATAGCGTGTATGATTGAATTCTCCCATAAAAACTTTTAATTGTTATGTGGAGCTCTACTTAATTAGCAAAGTGGTGTAGGGTATCATAAAGTCGGCCCCGCCCGACTTAAAGACTTTCTTTACTGGTTTTTTTTTTACTGGTTTTTCTTTTTGTGAGGGACGTACCAGAAGGAGTAGATCAATATTGTCCATCTCCGAACTCGATCTAAGTTTGATAATAATATTACAATGTCATGACAGATCTGAACCCTATTGACTAGAATGAAGATCTTCCTAAGAAACATCTCCATATCTTCTACATAATAAAAGCAAATGTCTAACCTAATTGCTCCTCTTTTCCAATAATCATCATAGATCTGGAACCAACATCTTCCTATACATACAATGTTCCACCACCGGAGCTAGAACCCATTATGACCTACAAATATCAATTTTTAGACAAATCCGTTAAAAAATTTGGCGAAAATCATCATCCTAGACACAATACAAATTGTTCTGCCAAATTTTGACGCTCTACGTTAAATAGTGTGCGCTGTATCGTGATTTCAACAAACAGACAGACAGACGGCTGATTATAAATATATATATACTTTATGGGGTCTACGACGAATATTTAGGGATATTACAAACGGACTGACAAAGTTAATACACCCTCCTTTTCAATAGCAGTAAATTTTTTTGTAAAAAAGCACCAACATATGTCTTGTTGGCACAGATTAGCGACAATACTTTTCAATATGCTTGATTTTGTTTCCTTCACTGCTGTGGTTTGAGTAAATACACAATCATAGAAATACAAGAACGATATAACAAAAACTTATAGAGTGGTCCGCAGGAGTAGAATCTGCTAATTTTTGAACGAATTTTGCCTCCACTTTAAAATGAGCAAAGCACGCTCGCCCTTGTTTGAGCGAAACCGAAGAATCGAGTTTGCTCGTTTTGTTTTGTTTTTTACTCCCAGGAGTGCTCCCACTCGACTTCGAGCTAGTTTCACTCTTCACTCGAATTCGAGGTTTTCGGGGGTCTGATTTAAGGTATCTACGGATCAACCATAAAACTTTAAAATTATATTAAACCTGGTGTTTGGGTCCTTTAAATACCCTAACATGTTTCACCTTTTGAAGTAGTAGTAGTAAATGCAAGGATAAACTTTCCACTCCTTTCCATTGTGAAGTTATCACGTTTTAAAGTTTAATCCTCTCCTAAATCTCTGACTTACCTCTTTTGAAGAAAGCTATAAATTTCACTGAGAGTCAGTTTTCCCGTTGGTGACTCCTTTATGGCCATGGCTATCATATTTATGTAGCTCAAAGCCGGCTTTTCGGGGCGTCTTATACCCGATTTCTTGGTGGTGTCCGCCGATGATAAATCCCGAGCGTCCGATGAGGAAGACTGTTGACTTTGTTGTTGGGATTTGGGGGTGTCACTTTGATTTGATTGAACCGATTTGGCTGGGGAAGAACTGGAGGAATAGTGGGTGTTTGTGGTGTTGGTCAGCAACTGATTGGAATCATTGTGGGAATTTGTGCATGAATTGGTGGTTATAACACCGCCGGCAGACGAGGTGTGTTGTATGCGCTGTTGCTGTTGCTGCTGCTGCTGTTCCTGTTGTTGCATTGTGTGATGCATTAGTTCTGAGGAATTTCCCGTATCTAAATGATCGGTATGCGATTGGTGTTGTGAGTGTTGTTGTTGCTGTTGCTGTTCATTAATGTGATGTTGTTCTTGTAGTTCATGATGCATATAATCCGTGGATGGTTTACTGGAGCAGTACTTTATGGTTGAGGCATAATGGTGATTCAACGAAGATGGCATCAAATTTAAAATTTTATTCGAATTAATCGAATTATAATGTAATTCACTATCCGACGGTGTATGACGATTCGAGGGCGATGAATTTCCTGAGTGTGACGTTGGTGGTGGTTGTGGTGCTACCGATCCACCATCATGGCCATTATGGCCCGTTACTCCCTGGGGGTTGGACAGTAGCACACCATACGAAATGGGACTGTTCGAGGCCGGCGGTGTGGACATGCTGTGCAATGACGTTAAGCCATAATTCATGGTATCCGACTGAGTCATCATTGTGGCATAGTATTTGCGCTCATTATAAAGTAATGGTGGCTTCTCATCGGGCATTTCGGGCGAGTCTTGATGCATACGCATCGCCGCCGACGATGAGGAAGAGTGGTGATGATGATGTTCATTGCCATACATTATGGGTTGGAAGTTGGAGGAGGCCAAAATGTTGGCCTGTAAATTGCGATACAAGGTGTGATGATTGTTCAGCTGATGCAAATCGCTGTGATGATGACTAACGGCATTCAGGGAGCCACAAGGTCCCGTATCTAACATATCTTCACTTTTTATCATATTTTTTGTTTTTTGTTTTTCGTATTTTTTTTTTTTTCAAATTAAAAATTTGTATTTTTATTTTTTTTTTTAATTTTTTCTCTCTTTTTCACTCGTCTTTGTCTTCTTTATTCACACATTTTTTGTGTTTAATTTGGTAGAGTAAAAAAATAATATTGCATTAAAAAAGCGTTCAACGCGTTTATCTTGACGATCACGTCTATACACCGCCGTTATTCTAATTGAACTGATTTCTCTGATCCGGTCATGCCTCAATTGTTGCATTCAACAGAATTCCACAACTCATTCCACTCAAAAAAAAAATTATCATTTGCTCTCTGCCCCCATTTAGCATTGCCCACAATTACACCTCACCAGAATGTGTGCATTAGAGCCTTTGCCATCGGCCCTTGATGGGTTAATTCACACATATGTCTGTGAGTTGGGCTCCGAGCTCCTTATGGTACCATATGTGGGTGTTTTGCTAACATGTTACTGCTTGAGTGTGTCTGGCTGTGTTTTGCTGAGAATTTTAATATTGTTGTGTGAAATAGCTCACAACAACAGATGAAAAAAAAAATGCAAAGGAGAAAACCCAATTGGATTGAGTTCACTCAATACTCTTTGAATATCATCATCACTAAGAAGAGGAAACATTTGAGTTTGATTTTATTCTTCAATTTCAATTTTCAAATGGAAAGAGAGAGAGAGTTACTCTTTTTCTTCTTCTCCATTATTGTTTTTTCTTTATAACAAATTTTGCTGATTAAGCACAAATATTAAATAACTATAAAAGATGCTGATATTTATTTTTTGTTGTAGTCCCTCGCTTTTAAGAAGACCTTGAAATCTGGCCTGTATTATGTTAATATTTTTTTGTTTCGTTTATATTCGGTATTATTCCTCCATAATATTATAAAGTGACTTCGGCATCTTTTGACAATTATACTGTGCAACACCAAAAATTATTATATGGAAAATCCAACAGGGTTAAAAAGTATCAGTCGGTCTTGCCGACAGGTGTATACCCTCAGCCAATGTTCGATTATATAAATATATTTTGACTTCTGTTATGATTGTTCAAGTTGTTGGCTCTCTATGGAGTAAGTTTCGAAGGTATGGCTCAATATTGCCTATTTCGTATCGGATCTAAATAAATATGACTATTTTGGACTATATTCCTTTACGATATGTGATAGTTAAAAAAGCAAATGTTAAAATGTACGTGAGGTAACAGATATAGTCGACCGAAGTATTTTCATAATTCATCTGACATCCGACTGAATACAAATAGAAATATTGGTATGGGCTAAATTTCACGAAAATCGAATATTTATATCCAATTTTATGTGAAACTAGCTGAACCCAGTGCGCTTCGCTACCACTTTTGATTTTATATGCATTCAAAATTTTATTTACGAATATATGTTGGTTACAAAAAAAAAAAACAAATTTAAAAATTTAAAAAAAAAATAGTGCACTACTTTAATGCGTAAATAACCAAAACCATTAGAAAAGCAGTAATATGACATACATACACGAAGGGTTTGTCCTTCGGATTTATTTATTTCATAGCAAATACCAAGCGTAAAGTAAACTGCAATTTTTTGAAGTTGAGTGGCATTTCTATTGCAATTAGTGAATTCGAGATAGCAACATACTTCCCCGTAATAAGCGTATTTCAAATCAATTGTTGTGTTGTTTTTTAGTGTTAGCCTAAGGTGTTGTGGATCAATGGTTCTTATTAAAATCATATCCCAATCTGATCCGGTTTAAATATAATTTTAAAAAAATTACTTTTACACCAAATTCCGCCACACCTTTCATATTTCATTGAAATTGGTGCATCAAATATGTGAAATCGGCCGAGAATATATATAAGGCAGCTATATCCAAATCTTAACTAATTTCCAATTAATTTATCACATTAATTATTGTAACCAAATTCCGCCACACATTCTGAATTTCATTGGTATCGGTCATATATATCATGTTTGGTGCATAACATGTATGAAATCGGCCGAAATATATATGTTAGCTATATCCAAACCTCAACTGATTTCAATATAATTTGGCAATTTTTTCTGGTGCCAGATTTTGTCTCTCTCGCTTTGGGTGCATCAAATATGTGAATTCGGCTGAGTATATATATGGGAGCTATAATCAAATCTGACCGTATTTGAATATAATTTGTCAAATTTATTTTTGTACCAAATTTAGCCACTCATGCCGAATTTCATTGGAATCGGAAATACGTATCGTGATTTGTGCATCAAATATGTGAAATCGGCGGAATATATATATCGGCGAATAATATAATTTGACTAATTTATTTTCTAATCAAAATCCCCTTACATATTCCAAATTTCTTTGGAATCGAACATACATATCGTGTATGGTGCATAAAATACATGAAATCGGTCAAAAATATATATGAGAGCTATATCCAAATCTGAACCGATTTCAATTTAATTTGACCAATTCATTTTGGCTCCCAATTCCGTTACTTATTTTAAATTTCATTACAATTGGAAATACGTATCGTGTTTGGTCCACCATACATGAAATCGGCCGAAAATATATATGGGAGCAATATCCAAATCTGAACCGATTTCAATATAATTTGACAAATTTATTTTCCGATTAAATCCCGTCACACATTCCAAATTTCATTGGAATCGAACATTCATATTGTGTTTGAGGCATCAAATAAACGAAATCGGCCGAAAATGTATATGGGAGCTATATCCAAATCTGAACCGATTACAATATTATTTGTCAAACTTATTTTTGTTCCAAATTCCGTTACGTATTCCAAATTTGGAGACTGTATCTTCAACCAATCAATAGATATGTGTATATAAAATCTAAATTTTTGGGAGGTACCTCCGATTCTGATGCTATATCTCCAGTTCCAAGTGGAAATTCAAAAATGTATATAGCCTATGTTACTTTCAGGCGATGTTGCAGTATATATGGAAATTTTGAGGAAAATCTATTCAGCGGTTTTCGAGTCCATAAATTACAAACAAACAAACATACAAACATTTTCCTCTTTTATAGATATAGATCATAAATTCCATATTGATCTTAGGTTTCTGGTTGGGACAAAAGGCAAGTTTTAAGGAATCGCTGATTTGTTTCGCAAGTTATGACAGTTAAAAGTAATGAAAATTGTGACCCTTTGTGGGTGAGGTACCAGAAGGGGTTGGCAGATATATATCATGTTCACATCAGATCTTGTGTTAGCAAAAATGTTTGTATGTGTGAAATTTGAAGATGATGCCTATGTTGGTATCTTTGATCGCTTTGTTATTCAAAATCTTGCACCCTACGTGGGGGAGTTACCAGAAGAAATGGTCTGATTTCTACCATCTTGATGGAAATTTTGTCTGAATGGATATTCAAAATATGGACCAATTTTGGGGGATGTAATAGAAGGAGTAGACCGATATATGTTCATAGAAAATCTTATGTTAGTAACAAGTTAAAAAGCTCTAAGTTCGGCTGGACCGAACTTTTAATACCCTCCACCATTTGCAACGAATTTGGAAATTTTTAAAAAATAAAATCCTTAAAAAATTCTGTTAAAATTTTAAAAATACCGAATATAGCCGTCATATTGGGATCTATACGACGTGGACATACATAGGCATTGTTTGTCATAGGCCATTACCATATTCAAATTGGAAACTTGAAATAAACGGTAAATAATGTAGCTAAAATCATCAAAATATCGTACATAAGGAGGTGCCGTTAAATTGGAGCTGTGCCAAGACCTGGACCAGCATAGACAGTTTTCTGTCACAGGCTGTAGCATCCATTACGAACTTCAAATACCTCATTTCAAAAAAATTTGAAATAATTCCCGTGAATAATGTCGTTAAAATCACTAAAATACCGAATATCAGGAGGTACCGTTATATGGGGGCTATACGAAGAAATGGACTTGCACAGATAATTTTCTATCTTAGACTGTAGTATTCATTACGAAATTCAAATACCAATTTTCAAACAATTCCGGTGAATAATGTCGCTAAAATCATCAAAATACCGAATATAGGGAGGTACTGATATACGGGGCCTATACGAAGACCTGGACCCGCACAGACAATTTTCTGTCACAGACTGTAGTTCCTATAACGAACTTCAAATACCAAATTTGAAACAATTCCCGTGAATAATGTCGTTAAAATCATCAATATACCGAATATCGGGAGGTACCATCGTATGGGGGCTATACGAAGACATGGACTTGTACAGACAATTTTCTATCTTAGACTGTAGTATTCATTACGAACTTCAAATACCAATTTTGAAACAATTCCGGTGAATAATGTCGCTAAAATCATCAAAATACCGAATATAGGGAGGTACTGATATACGGGGCCTATACGAAGACCTGGACCCGCACAGACAATTTTCTGTCACAGACTGTAGTTCCTATAACGAACTTCAAATACCAAATTTGAAACAATTCCCGTGAATAATGTCGTTAAAATCATCAATATACCGAATATCGGGAGGTACCATCGTATGGGGGCTATACGAAGACATGGACTTGTACAGACAATTTTCTATCTTAGACTGTAGTATTCATTACGAACTTCAAATACCAATTTTGAAACAATTCCGGTGAATAATGTCGCTAAAATCATCAAAATACCGAATATAGGGAGGTACTGATATACGGGGCCTATACGAAGACCTGGACCCGCACAGACAATTTTCTGTCACAGACTGTAGTTCCTATAACGAACTTCAAATACCAAATTTGAAACAATTCCCGTGAATAATGTCGTTAAAATCATCAATATACCGAATATCGGGAGGTACCATCGTATGGGGGCTATACGAAGACATGGACTTGTACAGACAATTTTCTATCTTAGACTGTAGTATTCATTACGAACTTCAAATACCAATTTTGAAACAATTCCGGTGAATAATGTCGCTAAAATCATCAAAATACCGAATATAGGGAGGTACTGATATACGGGGCCTATACGAAGACCTGGACCCGCACATACAATTTTCTGTCACAGACTGTAGTTCCTATAACGAACTTCAAATACCAAATTTGAAACAATTCCGGTGAATAATGTCGTTAAAATCATCAAAATACCGAATATAGGGAGGTACCGTTATATGGGGGCTATATGAAAACGTGGACCTACATGGCCCATTTACGAACTTAACCTGCCTACTGGAGAAATAAACATGTGTGCAAAATTTTAGCCATCTATCTCAATTCATTCGAAAGATAGCGTGATTACAACAGACAGACGGACAGACAGACAGACAGACGAACA